CTTTCCCTGCCCTTTTGCCTTTGCGGTGTTTGCCATGGTTTTGCCGCTTTAGGAAGGGTCCCCCGGCACGATCCTCCGCTCCGGAACCCTTCGTCTCAGTGGCTTCCGAGGCATCTCAAACAGTTGTTTGACCATTGGGTAAGCAGGCAACTTAGGAATCAGCAGATGAAAATTCTAGTCTCACTCTCCATCTCAAGCTTTCAGTGTGCCTTTGGGCCAATGACCTAGCCTCCTCATTTTCCTGGCTGCTCGCTGCAGCATGGCTTTAATACTTCTACCCCCATAGGCCATGGGGCCATACAAGTAATTAACGTTTGTAAAATGCTTTGAAATAGACTGCACCAGGGGAGAGAGAAAGGCAGATACTAGTAACAGATAGAAAACACAACAGGTTTCCTGGAGAAAGCAAGCCTGTGCAATATCAGACCCATTTCAGTAAGGAACAGAAAGATAGGCTCAGCTTTAATGTGTTTCATCATATCCTCAGATACAGGCATGTTCTCACGCACCTGGTTTATGGGGGACTTGCTCACAGTGACAACTCTTACCTTGGCTCCTGTCTTAGCTTTCAGGCCTTCATATAAAATATGTCAGCAGAGTCTTTGAGTCAAATTCTCTTGCCTGATCCAGGAAGCATTTCTCAAGCCCAGCTCCCCCTTCTTTCAAAATCAAAAGCACTGAGCCCCTGGTTCCCTGCTTTGAACTGGTGACAGACCTTGGCCGCCCCACAGGCCTTTCTTCCAGGACAGTGGTAGGGACTTACCATCCAGAGTACAGAGGGCAAAGAGACCTGAGCCACTGTTCTCACTGGAGCAGCCTGTAAGTGCAGAAAAGAATTACAGGAGTTGATGCCGTTTTATGAGCATTGTCCCCTCCCTCTCCTGAAAAAAAAAAAAAAAAGATCCAAAACAAGCTGATCCATCCTGCCTCCTTTTTTGCCCAGCCTTGACACTTTGCTTAGCAGGTACTGGTTGCAGATTCTTACAACCAATCGTACTTCATTCTAGCTTTTATTTGTAGAGCACTGGCATCTCAAAACCCAAGACCTTTGGTTTGCACTGATATAGGCATGTCTGGCTCTGCTGGCTGCTCCTAGGAGTCTGTCTGTACCACATACGCACTTGCAGGCCCACTTGAAGGATTTTAGTGGACTGCATCACATCCCTTCCAGGCTCCAGAAATGCACAAGTATAGGCAGGACCATCACAAGGGACAAAGTGAAGAACAGCTGAAGCCAAACTAGAGTATTACAACTGTACCCTCACTGTTTCTTTCAAGGACAGGAACATGGCCTTCGGCTGTTCCGGGAAGGTGCAGGGGAAAAAAAAGAGAGGTCCTGCCAGAAGGGCAAAGCGTCAGTCACATTAGCACAAAAACACCTCCATGGCAACTCCTGAGAGTCTGTGGAGATCATGCTACCAACTCTATTGTTTTCACTGCAGCAGAACTGCACAGAAGCTGTGATCCTCTCCCAGCATGTGCCTTCATGCTCATTTACACATTCAAGCCTGGCTTTCCTGGGCTATGCTTATACAGCTGTGAACTTCCTGGAAGCAGTATCCTCTCCAAAGCCTGTATATCACATTTGTGTGCAGGACAGCACTGACAAATGTGACCAGTTAAATCTGAAGAGGAGACTCCCCTGACCACTGGGCTGCTTCAGCCCTTCAGCACACTCTCTACCTAGCTACCAGTCAGAAAAGACATGCAAGGTCAGGTTTTGAAAGTGACATCACACTTGGCAGGGGAGGACCAGAGCTGCATTCAACTACAGCTGCATTTAATCCTTTCAGTGACAATGCAGGAGAGACACTGGCTCCCTGAGGTCTGCAGGAACCCAGGAAAACTGGCCGTCAGGGACAAGCCAGCAGAGCTGAAAGCAAATAGGCAGTTTCCCCAGAATGACGTAATACTGCAAGCCTACCTCCACTGCCCATAGACATCTCCAAGACACAACACCCTGCACACTCCCAGGACACAGACTACCCTATTTCCGCAGATCAGCTTAAAGCAAACAGTTAGCTGGTTGAGTGCTCTATTGCCCCTAGCTGACATTCATCCAGACAGGCTCTGATCCAAAAGATCTGCTGTGTCCCCCTTATAAACTGGTCAGCATGGCACTCTTCAGCTGTTTCATTACTGATGGTCCAGCATCAGTGGGCTTTTCACAACCTTCTCTTCATCCCTTATTCAGTGTACCTTCTTTTTTCACAGACACTTCTCATTAGATGCAAGGCTTTGTATGGAGTGAAATTAATTGATTTCATGCTCTGTTGACCATGTTGCTCACAGCAGCATCCGAGATGCTGAGAACATGACAAGCTTAGGAACTGGGGAGGAAGGGTATTCTGGGGAAGGGGAAAAGGAGGGGTTTCAGTGGATTGCTCTTCTCCCCCAGCTATAATTACATTGGACAGCCCAAATTGTTCTCAGACAGCACTGCAGGGGGTAATTCTTGGACAGAGGAAATGCAGCTGGATTCCAGCCAGCTGCAGACAAGAGAAAGTGATCTGCATTGGGAATTTTCTGCCTTCTTGTATTATGCCCACATGCTCAAGGGGGAGTGAAAGCTACTTGTTCTCCACAGGTACCAGAACAGGGTGCACCAGGCACAGGTCAGAGCACAAAGCAGTTAAACAAGGGAAGCAGTGGCAGTGTGTAAGAAAAGTCTGGACACAACAGCAGTGTGTCAGGGCTGAGAGGAGCCAGCAGCTGTGGAGAGTTTAGATACATCAGCTGAACAGAATACATTAGAAGGAGACAGAGGACAGTGATATAAATGAAATATGGAAGAAGCTCGGGGGGGGTTGGGACTGCACAGGTGAAGGAAGAGCAGGACATAGCTGCCAGGTATCGGGACTCAAATGCTGAAAAGCACAAAAGCAAGAATAAAGATGAGGCTGAGGAAAGGAAGAGATGCATCTAGGGAATAAGAAGAGGACATAAGCTGCAGCCATGCAAAAGCAAAGATCAAGGACCTCTGTAGGAGCAAGGCATGGCAGCCATTCAGGATGACTAAATGCAGGCCAGCGGAGGCTGCAGAGAAACTGCTGTGCTAGGTGAAGAGTAAAAGCTACCTAGGGAAGGACAAAGGCTATAAGAAGTTCAAACGCAAATATCCAGCTGTCTGTCTTTGGGAGCTGGCTAACAGAAGCCAAGTTCCCTCTGTTCTTGCAGCTGTCTCCCACTGTTATTTTTCAAGAATGGGAAATCTGATTTTATTCTGGACTGATGTATTGAAAAAAGTATCAGGAGCAACTGTTGGGCTAGAGACCCCAAGCTCCTAATCTCTCACCTCGGCCAATGCTACCAATTAGATGAGTGGAAACATTCTTGTTGTGAATCCGTCCAGATGTTTGGTGTAGAATAACATCTCGAATAGGGGTCTCGCTAGGAAAAAGAGAGACAGACATCAGGGAAAGGTTAGGGAACCATGCTTGGGACTGTGCCAAAACAATCTCAAGAGCAGTGTACTCCAAAGCACTACATATCCAGAGATAGATAAGAGTTTGTGCATAGGTTAGCCCTTTAATGGTAAAGGCCAAGGAAAATGCATGCCAACCCAGGTGTGAAAGGAACTCACTAATGTTTAAAAAACAAAACCAGAATGATTTGATGCATCAGAAAACTGGAAAGAGCTCAAAGGAAAAAAAAAAAAAAAAAAAAAAATCAGTAAAACATGTATTCCAATCAAGGAAAAAAAAAAAAGACTATTTTTATCACTACTGTCTGTAAGCCTGGCTCCTTTTCACTCAGGAAGTGTCTGCCCGCGATTGAACAGGCTGGTCAGAGATCATGCCTGGGCATGGTTAGGGCTTCTGGCTAGGAAGCTACCATTCCACTAAGGTCTCTAAGACATCAAGGAGACTTGCCTAGCTCCCCTCCTGCTGCAGTCTTCTGGGTCTGCCTTAAACTCTCACAGAACACCACAGAAGCACCTGAATTCTCCACAAGGCTCCCTCCAGCACCAAGGACAATAACCTCACTGCTCATCCCAATTGTTCTGGTTGTGATTTACAGCACTGGCTGCCAGGGGTCTCATAAGGAAAACCTCCAATTACCTCACCTGGAAGAAACGAGTGAATGAACCCAAAGTGTCATCCTGGGCTTCAGACTAACTGCGCTTGGCCCAGCCTTTCAGTTGCTACCCTTCCCACCATTAGATAGGTCACCAGATCGCCTACTACTCTTTCTCTGGAAATCTAGGTCACTCATTTCCCTGCCTTAGCCCCCAGTACTGCCCCCTTCAGTGAGCTGGTTTTGCAGTCTCCTTGCTCGTTCCAAGGAGAAGAGAGCAGGATACCAGGAAAGCAGTAGTATTCATCTTTGTGAAAGAGGCACGAACAGTGTTCATGGAAGCTTGGATGAGGTGAGCTTAAGTCATGAACTTAAGCAGCACAGCAGGTCACTGAAGCAAGGACAAATGACAGCACACACCCCCCTCCCTCCCCCCCCCCAAAGAAAGGTGGTGTGGCGGTGCCCCCTTGTGACAGGCATCTACAGCAGAATCTCCTCATCTATCCCACACAGTAACGCTCTTCACCTGCTTGGGGTAGAGTTGTCTCTTCCCTCTGCCGTGGCCTGCTGCTCAGAGTCCCAGGTGCAGAGCAGAATGGCATAACCACAGCCTGGCTGAGACACCATCATCTCCGGTGAGCCATCAGGGCCTGGGTTCACAGAGAGGCTGTCCACCTATACTGGCAGAGGAAAAACATGGATAGAGTTGAACTGAGAACTTTAAACACCTCAGAAGGGTTCACTGTGCTCCTTGTACCTCAACTTGAATATGGCAGATCTTCTCATAGAGCTGAGCAGGAGCTGAAGAAATTCAGCTAGAAGCAAAATGTCCAAGTTACAGTAAAACGTTATGCTTCCCTATCAAAAGCCACTTAAGAACACACTAGTATTTTCCACTAACGCTCTCTAGATGGGTGAGAGCAACTGACCGTTTACCAGACCAACCCACCAGCTGCTCCACATGTACAGGACAACCACTGGGCAAATCTCCTTTCATGCCATCAACATGACAATTGCTTTGTTCATAGAACCAAGATTTTGTGCTTCTTTCCTTGGGAGAGCCACCTCTTGAAAACTGTATGACAAGTTCTGCTCTGAACATCCCGTTTCCCTTACCTGACCTTCTAGCAGCCATTTCTTCAACAGGAGCAGCTGCCCAGAGACATGGTCTGAATTCTCCGACAAGTCTTCCCAGCGGAAGGCACGTACCACCCTGTCAGTGTAACCCACCACCAACTCACACTTCCCATCTCCATCTGCAGGGAATACAAGGAGATAGATGGGCTCTCTCAGGCTTTCATAGCCCCAAGACCCCCAACATTCAGAAACCACTGTGCTGGATCCCAATCCTGTAATGAGAATTTGCACTTCAGGAAAATTCCTGAAGTTCTTCCTTCTCTCCTCCATGACTTGGTTGTGGTTTGTTAGAGCACCTGTTTCAGCAAGATAGCAATTTCCTTCTGTCAGTCCCACACACTTTCTCCCTCTCTTCCCCACCACCTCATACCCACAAACTCCCTCACCCTGCACTCCCACACCAGCTTCCCGACTCACCAATGTCACTGATCAGCATGACCTTGGTGTTGGCAGGAATGTGCTGCTTGAACACTGGCTTCTGCTCTTCCACCACTGCCAACTCATGGTGGCCTGAAGCATCTGGGTGTTTTGAAGTTGGAGAAGTCAGGTCAAAAAGATGAAACCAGCCTTCTGCACTCACCGCCACCACGAGATTCTAAGAGGAAAGAGAAAAACCTTTTGATTTTTCCTCTTCTAGCAACTGCAGAAGCTGTCCCATAGCAGGGCGAGGGAAGGTTCGAGGGTAGATCCATCAAGATCAATGACTGCTACAGAGGGAAGAGGAGAAGGTTTTTGGCCAGCGTACAAACTACTCGGGTACTGCAGGGTCCAAACTTCTTGTTCATCCTTGTCAGACTAGGATATCAAGCTGATGTGTGCTCACTTCAGCTCTGCTCCCCACTGGAGCAGACATAGCTACAGTATTTTAGGCAGGGTGCCTGAACTGGGACTTTTGGTTTAACCTCCAGAAACAGCAATCCAGCAGAAGTATTAGACCCAGCGGAACTTGCTTGGGAGTCTAGACTATTTTGTGGCTCAGTCTTGTTTAGATGACCTTAAATGCCCACAGCCAAGTGACAGAAGGGCCATGGCCCACAGGAGGGACCAGCAGAGATCAGGGCAAAAGCCACTGAGGAAAAGGAGCAACGCTCAAACCACCAAAGCCTTGTGGCACTCACAGAGGGAAACATGCAAATCAATAGTGCTTTTTGAAGATAGGATGGATTTCCTTGCTCACTAAAACCTGCATATGGCTCACAGACAGACACAGGTTATATGTAAACAGAAGAACAGTTTTAAAACAGTAGTGCTAAAACTCTATGAGCAAGGGCAGATCCTGAAAAGAAAGCACTTGCAACCTGTCCTCCTCCACACTCAGGATATGACATGATGTTAATCTCCTAAGCACCTTCCACATGCCCTACAGACACAGCTGGGAAGAGTCTGGCTGCTCTCACCTTTCCTTTATTGCATACATCTCCCACACCAACACACGTGAGCTGCAAGAGAAAAGAAGGCCGTACATGAGAGAAGGCAACCCAAAACAGCACTTTGGGATACACCTCTGCCCTACCCGTTCCTCTCTCACAAACCGTCTCTTGAACTCTAAACAGCCTTTTCAAGGACAAGGAGAGCAGGGCCAGAAACACATCTGCCACGCAACTGCCCAGAGCCCTGGGACAAAGTCCACAGTGCACAGGAGCAGGGTCAAGGTGGGACAGAAGCCCAGTTCCTGTGTTTGTTCAGTACTTTGCTCATCACTTTTCACCCATGGGGCTAGCTGTGGGCAAAAGCAGGGTCTTCCATAACTACATGAAAGGCATCAGAACCAGTTCTGGCTGCCATTCCCCTCTGGCAGTGGTCAAGGACAGCTGGCTGCACATATACCAGAAGGCCCAACCATTTAAAAGTTTTGTCAAGAACTGACCATTCCTTGACAAGATCGCACAGCCCAGGGTTTGCTGTCATCATTCTTGTAAACACAGAGTTTCCCATTGGTGTCTCCCACTACTAGTTCATTCAGCTGTACAAGAGAATTGGGTTAGTAAGAAGAAATTCACAATTACAGTAACAATATTCCCACACAGCAATAATTAAAGAATTCATATCTAAAAATCACTCCATGGGAAGAAGCAGCAAAGCAAAACAAGAGTTAAAGAGACAGCCTTGAATCAATAGAGAAGGTCTGTGAAAAACCAAAAGCCCTAATTTTACTCTCACAGATCAAAGAGCTGGAGAGTGGCTGCTTAGAGCCACATCCCCTTATCCACTCCTTCTCTAGCCATTGTTTCAGAGTTGCGTCACTGTGTTTTAACATCCTGCTCTGCTAATCATCATCTTCATCACCCCGTCTTCCATCCTTCAATCTAGATTGACTTGATCTTTATTGATCCACCTGAGGAAGATGATAGCAATGAGGAAAATGTAATCATCCAGAAAGAGGCTGCAAGAACACTTACAATAGATTCACACTGGGTGTTCAATCTCACTGATGAAGGGGGTAAAGGTCGTTCAGAATGGTGATTATTTCTTTAAAGATGACTGCTAAAAATCACCAACTACCCCAGCTGACGAGCCTACTCCTACTACCCCATCTTCTGCATCATGCTTCTGTGTATTTAAATTGTGTGCATTTCATAACTCCTGCATACGTTACCCCACATAACACAATTTCTTATGGGAAAATTTGTTTTATCATCCAGTGCCTTGCTAGCCATGACACTTTTCAGGATAGCAGGATGTAATAACATTTGACTGTTGAGGAAACGAAGGGACAGTTTACATATATCTGGTTAAGCCAACCTCTTCCTAGTTATAAACAAATCAGACCCATCAGAAACAACCATTTGTGGGGCTGACAGCAACATTCTTGATGCACATCCATTCATCATACAGGTCAAGAGACATTCAAACTTGGCTCTACCCTGTTTGTGATCCACTGTGCCCCAGCAAAGCACTTCCCCACACCTCTACACCCCCACCACCACGACAGGAGAGTGTCTCTCTTTGGGACCAAAAGTCAACCTCCCTCCTAGCTATACACCACCCAGGGCCCATGTCAAGAATGCCTAGCATGTCTAATGGTGGCGGAAGCACTGACCAGCTGCAGCCAAGAATCACCACAACATTCAGTTTACAAGGGT